CGGGCACAGCCAGCGCACGCCGGGCGCCGGCTCCAACCGCGCCGGCAAACTTTGCAGCCCGGGCTGCAGCCGCGCCGGGGCCGGGCGAGCGACTGTTCCGGGGGTGTTTGAGTCCTTTTAAGTCAGCTCCTACTTTTCCAGTCCCTCCCGGTTTCAAACGCTACTTACCGGAATATGTGGCTCCATGCGTGGTGCTTCTACCCGCTGGGAAACCAGCAGCATCTTGGACTGGGGATCAAGAGGCTTTTAGATCCACTTTGGCTGTATTTAGCAAAACCCAGCACCGCGAAGGACTCGGAGGCTGTTCCCTGCCTTTAGGTTCCAGACAAGTTCATCCCGGCGTTGCAGTTTGCTAATGATTCACTGTCTGTCTCAATCTGCTCACTACATTTCCATCAACCCACAGCTTCCTCACTTAGAAGGTGGAGTTTGTGGGGTTTAAGTTACTGATAGGCATATCTAAGTGCTGTGTCACTCAAAGAGGAGGAGACACACTCCCTCTCTCACACACACACGCACACCCTCGCCCGCACACACACACGAGCGGCTCCCGCCTTAAAGGGGCAGTAACACCCCCTTCCCTTCAGAAACTGGGAACCTCACAGAGCCGAGATTTTTTTTTTTCCCTTCTGTGCATGAAGGCGAAAATCACGGGCAGTATTTTAACACGCCAAAAAAAAAAGCTGCTTAGCATGCTTAGCGCCTTCTTTGTAAAGCTTCAAGTCCATTTTGTACAAAAGTAGGGTAGCTCAGAAATATACTGGCAATTAATGGATAATTTTTTTTCCCCAAATCAAACTGTACAAATCGCTGAAAAGATATCCCGAGGCACAAAGTGTAAAGGTTGGAGTTATTCCTAAAACGTGTAGTTTCGTTATGCCATTACGATAGGATATTCAGCACTCCTAACGCTCACGAAAGGGTTAAACTCATCTCGCACAGGTGAACCCAGGTTACCGAGAAGAACACAGTGGAGTTGTTTCATTTCCCCCTTTGTGCTATGTACCTGTACTTTTGCAGACGGATGCAATTCTGAATAGAGTGCTCCCACAAAACCACGCACTGCTCATACGACTATAAATGTGCTCCTTACAAGCAGCAATCTCCGAATATTAATTTTGACAGGCCATCAACTGGAAGACAAGAACCTATTTGGACCCCCTCTTGGATTGTGCAGGAAGGACTGGGAAGAGCGAGCTGCAGGCAGCTAGGAGAGCACACCGGGACCACAAATAATTGCTGGTGTGATTTCATCTCATTACCTTGCTCAATCAGTACGACTGTCGCTCCTGTCCTGATACACTGGAGATGCTAGAAACCCTGTCGTGGTACACTGACTCCATGGGTGAGGTGTGGAAGGCGTAGTACCATCTCTAATAAAATGTCTAATTTTTTTAATCATTCCTAAATCAGTTATTCTAGTAAATTATGCTCTATAAAATTAAGAAGAAAGTTATTTGACTAAAACTCAATTACTGTGGCCAAATACCTCCAAGCGGAGCCAGAATCTGGCCTCGCTTTCCTGAAAGTTTTCCACACAGCAATCTTCTTCAGCTTGCAGTTAACTTGTAGACCAAACCCATCCTTGTACCCTGAGTTAATAAATATCAGGAATATCAGTTCATCAACAGAGAAAAATTTGGTTTTGCCTTTGCTGATGCCTCTAGCTTTCCTGCGACTGCTGTAACAACAGGCCCACTTCCTCAAGCAGAATTTGTGTTACCTCAGTTTGCATTGTTTGGAAGTTTCTTGGTTTGCCTGTCTAATGATTTTGCCTTCTATATTATTTAAAATTACTTCAATGTATTTTGTCTATTGAAAAAAAGAAACACAAAAAGAATAACCTTGTGTGGGTGTGAGCACCATGAATTTGACCGACTTGGAGGGCTGGATCTCAAAAGCTTTTGGTGTCTTAAGGGGAAGCATTTCGACACCTGATGTTTGGGTTTGTTGGGCTGCCCAGATCAAATCTATGACCCTGCCTGAGGTGCCGGGGCTCAAGCACAGTGTTAGGGCATCAGCATGGGATCTGAAAGAGCCAACAGGCTGAGCAGGAGTCACCCAAAATGAGCAAGCTCAGTGGAGACACGCATTCGTCATGCATGAATTAAGCTCCACCTGCAAGGAGGTGCCGCTGTCTGCCCAGTCTGCAATGTCTGGAACCCTTCCCTGAAGGTATGCGTGTGTGTAAGGGCTCCCATCTACCTACCTGGAGTTTTTTGGACTAAAATATGCATGTCTGAAACACGTGGGATACATAGGGATTCCCACGTCCTGTGGATATACTGGATCTACTGACACCACCACGATCAGAGGACAAATGACATGGTAGGTCCATGTCCATTCTTCTCTGCAGCACCTACAGTGCACAACAGTCACTTGTCCAGAAGTTTTTGACAAACCATGTCATTCATGACTCTTCCCAGACATATGAAGTTCTTGACAAATGGCAAAAGTCCTAAGGACTCTCATTTGCTTTATTCACTTCATAAAACTAGACATAAAACTAGACCTAAGGACTTCCCCAAAAGGAAGACAACATGAGTAGGGTGGATAGGAGCCCTGCCTGTACCTGCTCATGCAGCAGGAACGATGCTGCTGTCTGTAGCTGTCAAGGGGATCTGCTTGCCAGGTAGTGGCTTGTGTTCTCCTCTGTAAGGTGGGATACACTCTCAGAGAGAAGTTGAACGGAGACAAATACTTTCATCAGCTGGTTAGTCCCCAACAGAATTGTGGCAATATTTTCCTTTTTTTTTTTTTAACTGACTGGCTCAAGCTGCAGAAGGTCTGGAGGTCTGGATTTCACTCTGGCAGCCTGCTGCCACACGTGATGCTCTGGACTGATCAGGCGAAGCTGTAAGGTAAGCGCTGGGATGCACAGCGGTGTCTCAGCACGGACAGGTTCGGGTGTACGCAGAAGCCTAATTCCAGGCAGTGGGAGCATTTAACAAAAAAGTAACACCCTTGCAGAGATCACTCATTTTCAGCAATGGGTAATGGCTAAGCAGGGGATTTCAGGGTTGCAATTTTGGTCTTTGGTGATTAAGTTATGAGCCCTTTCTTTAGGCATATTTACTATAGCTGACCTGGGGGAGTCCCTGGCTGCTCTGGAACCAATGACAAAACTTTTGCTGGCTTCTTCAGGGCAGCATTTTATCTTCTGAGGTTAGACCTAACCTAAGCTGTTATTAGTGTGCTTCTATCTTATTTTGAAAAGGTGAGCTGTGGGATTCTGCAGAAAAGAAGTAATTTGAAGGGCATGAAGGCTGCTGTTATGGCCACAGGCTGAGGCTTGCCAGAATGTATCCTAGTACCTCAAAATGTTCCCCCAAGGCTGGACATAGGACCCAGGCTCAACTGGCAGGGATTACTCCCGTTCTTTATCAATTTTACAGCAGTTTGTAATATTTTATTTAGCGTCTTTAATATCCACAGAAAATATAATTTGTTTTGTTCACTGAATAAAACCAGCATAATTTCTTTCCAAATAGAGATGATTTCTTCAAAAGCCAGAGTCTGAGAGCTGACAAGTTATAACTGTATCTAAAAAATAACAAACTGATGAAAGGAGTGCACTGAACTGCATCTTTTCTGGAAAAAAACCTCAAAACCAAACAGGACCAAAGCTTGTCCTGTGCTCCACAGTTTTTGAAAAATCATTATCTTTTTACTTTTCTAAGGAGAACTGTTAGCTGGGAAGCTGCAATGTGCTCAGTAACTGCCCAATGTTATGGTTACCAAGTGGAAGGATTGCGCACCCGGAGATGATCTTGAAGAGTTGTGTTCTCCCAGGAGAACCATGCCCCACTCCCAGCTGGCCTCTGGATGTTCCTGGCATCGGTAAGGACAACAGAAATCCGAGGAGACAAGGGCTGCTCCATGGCACGTCTCGTACGCTGAAGGAAAGCAGCGACTGAGCAGTCCAGGGATTCACCACAGATTCATTAAGGATTCACAAATTTGTCAGTGACCCAGAATCAGATGGATGGAAATCATGTGATGCTTGCTACTTGCGTGTTTTTGACCTGAAATCAGGTAAAATCAATGGCTTTGGCTGAAATACACTTTGAGTGTATGTTTACCGGGAGCTAAAATGCAAAGCAAAGCTCCTGGGGCATCAAATCACATGAACTGCAACAGATATACACAAGTCTTCATAAGCTGAACCAACAGTTTGTCCTAATTCTACCCAAAACACAAACCCTTAGCACGCGAGAATGAGGTGCGAAATTCAAGGGAACGATGTATAAACTGGGATGTGGGTAACTCCACCCCACAGCAAAGATAACTAATAGGCCGAACATAAACAGGGTGAGAAGGAAGAATACAAAAAAAGATTAAATTACATCTCTGATAGAAAATTACAGAAACCCCCCACAAATCCAACTGTGTTTGCTTTCAAGGAATGAAGACAACTGTGGTATAGTCACAAGTCAGCGTAATATAAATAAGAACATCAGAATTCCCAACAGATCAAAGGTCCACCTAACCAGTATTTTTCTTCTGGGTATCAGTGATACCCATTTTCAAAAAGTACTTACTTAAACTGTGGAGATCATTACCATGGATGGGCATTTTAGAATAAATGGGTTCAAAAGGGATTGGAAGTACTTACGGAGGGCAAATTCATCGGCAGCTACTTAACACAGAGGCCTGGATGTGACCTCTGGTTCTGAATGCTGGAAGCTGGCAGGCGGTAGGAGGGGAGGAAGGACTCTGTATGTCCATGCCTTCTGCACAAAGCAGGTTTTTTCCTAAGGGTCTCATAGCGGCCACTTCAAAGCACAGCTACTGGGCCTGATGAACCTTAGGTTTGACCGGTCAGTATTGCATTCCTTATGCTAGATTAGATCAGTGATTTAGCTAATTCCAAATCTTGTCTCTGAGCGCAGGCAATAGCTGATCCTTCAGGAGACAGAACAGAAACCTTCACTGAAAAATTGCAGGGCAAATTGCAGGTAGCAGTGCAAGTTTCTTCCTAAGGATGGACGAGTTGTAACTGGCTGATGCTCAGAACCAGGAGGGCTGGTGCCCTCTGCGTACTTCCCCCATAGTACACTATAACATAGTGGGGATGAGATTTCTAACGCATGCAAAATTGTAGTTATTTTCTGAAACCCATTATACTATTGCCATCAGTAACATCATGTGTTGAGTAAAACAGCATCTCAGGCCCTTTCTGAATGTGTTAATTGGATGTCCTCTTTTTCCTAGTAAAAGTATATGGGAAATACCTGAAAATAGATAAATCGCATCAATAAACAATTTCAATTTCCTCAGTAATGCTTGCTACATTAAGTGATTTTATAAGTCATGTGGAAAAACGTGTAATTGTTAATGTATCAATTCT